GCCATTATAAGTTGCATCTTACTGTTCCTTCAATATGATACACATATATGTATCATATATACTTATTGAAACAATCATTTTTCTACTTTATGTTTAATTAAATGTAATATAAAACCAATAAGTGATATTGTGAGAAATTGTTTTTCTCATGTTTATCTTTCAATAAAACATTTGATACTAACAAATGACATTTGATAATTCATATTTCAGTTCATTTTTAGGTTAGTGATTTAAATTACTTCAGACTAACACATAATGTATATTTAATTGAATATCTTACATAAACTATGTTTTTATTTTGTTGATGATCAACAAAATTATGTGCAAAAATATAATTAAAAATTACATCATGTTTAACTATCTTGATTGCATGCTTTTGTACAAAATTGTAGAACTTTTATCAACTTAAAATACAAAATTAACATTTGGCTAGTTGAACATTATGTAGCTTTTACTATTGTGCTAATTTCTGATTGCATATAACATATCAAATATGTATAATGTGGATAAAGAGACCTTTTGCTATGATTAACTATTACAGTAGATCAAATGTTTTATGATCAAAGAGAGAAGATTATACTCTTCTGTATTTTTTTCACGTACATTTGTTGAGATGAAAAAATTAACATATAATCTGACCCACCAAATTATACAAACAATATCTTCTTTGTTTTTGAGAAAGTATCATATTTCTTGAACAATTAGGAAAGTTTGCCTATGTTGTTGCTTTAACAATTAAGCTGGGTGTTGTATGCAAGTTTGACAATATATAACGTAAGTATGAAACACTTACATATTACATATATAGGATTTGATCATGCATTTGCATCTTCATTATTCATAATTGAGTGTGATATTACCTCATATGTAGCAATATATTATTGTATCCTTCTTTGTCATTTTGAGAACCAGAGACTACCCATGATTTGTACTATCAAGGCTTGTCATATTAATGGTTATCACACATATTGTAAGTAGTTTTGTGACTTTCAATAATCCTCAATAAAGCTGTATTTTGATATGATGAATTCACTGAATTGTAGTAGTTAACTGTAAAAAGAGAGATCAGCCATATTGATAGATCTACATACTATGAGTAAAACGTAGCCAAAAATTGTAAAAATTAACGTGTGTATATATTCATCTCGTCAGCTCCATATAAAAACTACGTTTTATATGTAGCTATAATTTCTATGAAAATTCTTGAAAATGGGTCAGAGTCTACACATTTGACGACACGGATATTCATTTTTTTCTGCTCAATCTTCTATATAACCTAGTGCTCTACATAGATAATCCATTGGTGCAATCCACTGAAAAAAGATTCACATTTAAAAATTATTCTTTGGAACTCCGTGTGTTTGTAAATTGCTTAATTTTTAAATTTTGATTACTTATATGAAATAGTACATACATGCCAATTTAGTTCTACTTCTACATAGCCCTATCCTATCCCTTTGGATTCATCCATGGGAGTTAGAAGTTGACTTATTACTCTTTACTATATAATTCGGTTTCCCACAACTTTCAAAGCTACAAATAGGGTATGCATTCTTTCTCCCTCTAACGTAATTCATACTTCACATCGTAACGAACGCACACTCATAAGTTGATTTTTTCAGAATCTTGAGCCACATTACATACTTTCATGGGAACAGTTGGGGATGGGGGAAAATTTGTTGGACGGCATGATTTTTTTTTTAGTGTCCATTTGATCATGTGATTTGATCCATGTGATAAAAATAAATCACAACTTTCAAAAAAATATTTTTTTAAGTGTACGCGACAACCGAACGGTGTGAGTTGTTTCCCAAAAGGCTTGCAAAGACATGTACAATGACAACCGATGCGGCATATGAAAAGAGATTATAAATTGTTTCTTCGAGAATCTCCGTGTGGGAAACTTTTGCGCTTTATCTCGATGTGGAAAAATCTGTTAACAAGCCGCTGAGTTGCTGAGTTGTCCGGAAATTTTTGTTGCATTGACTTTACAATTTACGAAGATATTATAAAGGTTTCACGTGGAATGATTGCAGATGGCGATGCTCTGGAAGTCAGGAACCTTCATGCGACTTCAGAGCCGCATGGTGCAGTACATTCTTCATGCATTTGTGCCCCAGAGGCACATGGAGAACTTTACGGGGAAGCTGCGCACTCTGAAAAGTTGTCGAAACGAGAAGCGCCGCGCTCTGAAAAGTTGTCGAATTAGAAGCGCCGCTTCTCGTTTGCGTGTGAGCGTCGTGCAATGCCATAATTCTCTTCACCGTGCATTACCATGCAGCTGTTCTGTGCATCATATAACACAAATTCTGTTGAGACGACATACATAGACACACAATCGGAGTTCACTTTACTCTGTGACGGTCAGAGTGACTGAGTGTATGGTGCTGGCACAAGACTCCCGGTTTCAAGAATGTTGCCACCATGACAAGTTCAAAGATCATTTATCTTGCTCATCATAGATACCTCCAGCGTTGTCACACGGTTTCCAACCCAAGCTGTTGAATTATTCGTTCGTTTATGCATCAAATGCGGTCTTCAGCCTCTCTCAGTTGGGTTCACGATTTATATTGCACTTAGAATCGTGAAACCTCAAGCATCATCTAGTGGGCTGTCGTTCTTGGATAAGTTTTAAGAGTAAAACTTATCCATGTGTCGATACATGGCAAGTGTACGCACGATTTGACACCGAAGTAGCTAGTCAATGACTTGAATTCATTTAGCATTAAACAAAATTATAAACCCGATGTGTGAGTAGCCAGACTGATACAATCCGGGTCTCACGAGTGATATTAAACACCGTGAGAAACAGAAGAAAATGTTTTTCTTTACCTTGTGAAACACTGGAATACTTCTGACCTGATTGTCCCTGAAGGTTACTGGTTTGTAGCTGATAATCAGCAGAGATAAGGAAGGTACAGCCTTGATATCGTATCAATGATTTGGATGCTGACTAAAGCCGTCGTTTGGACATTCCCTTAACGAACTGTAGGCTCAGAACATCAACAGTTCAGAAATCGAGTGGATATGAATATTCGTGCTAGTGGACATGACTTACACACACACACACTTATGAAGCAAAAGTTCAGGATGCTGCAAAAGAGGCATAATCAATTCATTAATTGCCAGCGAAGGAAGTAGTGGGACATCGAAGACTTGTGAAACATTTGAGGTTGGTGATCTTGGCTTACGAGGAGAAGGAAATACTCTAAGACTTTACAAGATGACTGCGTATAATATGAGTTGCAAGAAAATCAAATACGCTGACTACGAATGACTTGATCTTATCACGATTTCCTCAAAAAAAAAAAGAAGAAGATTAACAGCCAAAAGAAAATGGAGATCCAGACCCAGACTCGGTTGTGCGGTTGAAGTTGTCACATCTCAAACGGTGAGAGAACAACCCCATGACCCAGACTCTGGTTTCAGAGCATGCACATGGGGAGTGAACCAGAAGACTCGATGAGTCCACCACGTTTATGGCACAGCAGATTAGAAGTCATTGGATTTAGCCTTTGCTGGATATCTTTTGTCGGACTAAGGCAAAGTTGTTCGATCAAGTTACGTCCTGGAGTCTCGTCATGTAAGTGGATATCTTCTGGCTCCCAAGGTTTACCCTCCACTTTTCTATCGAGGTATCATAGTTTTAACAATCAGATGATATATGATATGATCCAAACTTCCACGCCAACGGAGAAGACCATCGACACGTGAGACGACTGCGATGGTAAACACAGACCCCATGAGACGGAAACAGCGTTCTCCTGGAGGCAACAGTTTGAGTCACGCTCACTTCGAGCTGTACAGAGCGTACCGCTCGTGAGCTTTTGTGTGGGGTAGATGGAGGAAGACGTTGAGCACGAAGCTGGTCGGAGTGGTTGGTCCTGCTCGTCGAGAGGCAGCCAGGAGTTATTGCAAAGGAGGAGATCTGGGTTCAGGTAGGTATGCATTACGATCGGTGGCATCTTCGTCTTCCTGTGCCGGGTGGAAACGCGTTCATGGCGCAGTTGGGTGTAGTGGGCGAAAACTGGCACTGTCCTCGATAACATAAGCAGGCCCCAAGGGGTGTCAAGGAATCCGAAAGCAACAGCAAAGCATGGCCAACTTACCAGACGCGTACCGTCCGGGAGATTCATCGGCGCACACACGCCCCACTTGCCGAGAAAGAGAAAGACTTCGGAAGAGGACGACGTGCGGAAACTTCAAGCATCGAATAATGTCGAGAATCGGTGTACTTTGCGCGCAAAAAGCAAAGGAGTGACAGGCCCTCACATTCGATTCTCCCGAGACGACGCAAAGAGGCCACCACATTATGATCCAGTTGCGATCTGCGCTCATGCCCACCTCTCTCAGCCCCTACTCGCCGCTCATGCTGCGCTTTTCCCCTCCAGTCGGTCATCGACGCCGCCGTCGTCATCGTCCTCGTCGTCCGCAACGATGCCGTCCTACCCACCGGACTACCCCCGAGCCGCCCTTCAGTCTGCGGCCAAGCCCCCTCGCGAGCCCCCCTACACCTGGCGGTGGTCATTAATACCGGTCAACTCGCAGCCCCAAACCCCGGGTCCGGGTCAACTCGGAGCCATCGTATCGCCAGATGAGGCGGCCAGAGCGGACAGGCACTGGTCAACCATTCAATACGCAGGTCACATCGGGCTGGGCCTCCGTCCGTCGCCTTCCCCCGCTCCGGAGTCCGTTTGGATCAGACCGGACGGATCGGACCAGAGCAGACCGGAGCGGACCGGATCCCATCCCGTCCCGCCCCGTGCCTCCCCGTCGCACCCGATCCGATCCGATGCTATCGGTCGGTCCGTAGGCGGAAAGAATTTCGGGAGAAATTCCCGGCAGCGTCGGCACATCCGTGCCGCCAGTGGCTGACCGCCTTGCCTCTGCCTCGCTCGCGTATCCGAAGGACGGGGGCTGGGGCAGGGGCAGGGGCTGGAGAGGGGCAGGGGCTGGCAGGAGAAAAGGCCCAGGCCCAGGCCCAGAGGAGCAGGAGACAAGCAGAGCGAGCAAGAGAAGAATTCTCGGCTCCGGCCATCGATCTGATCTGCGCTCTCCGCTTGTTTATTAAAGCACGCGTTTGTTGTCTTGTGCGGATGAGGACTGTCATGGGCGTGGAACATCTCTCCCTCAGGTACGAGAGTTGAAGAGCAGGAGGAGCAGGAGGTTGCGGAGGCCTGGCACTCTCTCTCTCTCTCTCGGTGTTTCCGAGCGCCGACGACGACGACGACAGAGTCGAGAGGAGGAAGAGAGAGCGACGATGGCGAATTGCTCGAGCGAAGAAGGGCCGTGGGCGACTCTGATCAGCGAGGCGCTGGCGGAGGTTTTCGTGAGGCTGCCGTTCGAGGAGAGGCTGCGGACGGTGCCTTTGGTGTGCAAGGGATGGCGGAGGGCGTCGTTTGATCCGGCCTGCTGGCGGAATGTGGACATGGAGCCGTGGTTCAAGGCCAAGAGCGAGGTGGATTACGGGTGGGAGTGGGAGTGCCAGGAGGAGATGGAGTACCTGGTCAGATTGGTGGTGGATCGGAGTCACGGCCAGCTGCGGCAGCTGCGAACCATGCTCTGCACGAACGACTCGGTGGAGTATATCGCCGAGAGGTGTCCGCTCTTGACAGAGCTCTCGATCGCCGACAGCTTCGATGTCGTGGACGACGCGGCCATCAAGCTGGCTCTGAGTTGTCCTCGGCTCGAAAGGCTCGATTTAAGTGATTGCTACAAAGTGACGGGAAAGGCTTTAGAGATGTTCGGCATCCATTGCCCATCTTTGGTTAGTTTCTCGCGGAACATGCTCAGGAGCCACGAATTCACCGACGTCGTGCTGCCCATGGGCGACGAGGAGGCCCTGGTCATCGCCACGCGTATGCAGAAGCTCGAGCATTTGGAACTCAAAAAGTCCTTCTCGCTGACGGATTTCGGTCTGATGCACATTGCCACTCGGTGCAAGAAGCTCGAATCCTTGAATCTTGCCTGTTGCAGCGGAGTGTCGCCCAGTGCCCTGGAGAAAGTGACCGCCGTCTGTCCGAACCTCAAGTCTTTCACCAAGCCCATCAATCCCCGTATGCACGTCAATCAGAAGTTCCTCTGGGTGCTCTTCGACTGAGCACGCTTGTTCTCGTGGGCAGGATAGAATCCGGCACACAAGCCTGTACACCTTCAGCAGAGAAGGGAAGCGCAGAAGGCAGGTCCCAGGTCCAGGCTCAGTCCCCCACAGATCCGAAGGCCAGAGAGCGGGAAGTCGTCGTAGCCATCGCCCTCACACAGACTCTGGGTGGAGACGAGGATGATTGTTGAGTAAACTCTTGTCAGCCGGTCGGAGTGCATTGTGTCTCTCCAAGACAGAGCGACGGTGCAGTGGACCGACAGACGGGTTACAGTCAATCGGGCCGAGGTGGCTTTCACAGGGCTGGCGGGGTGATGAGGTTCAAGAGATTTTCGGGACGGAAGAGCTTCGACTCGGATGGGTGTCGATGATCGATTGCAACTTTCGGGCCACCCACCGAAGTCAAACGACATAGTTTCTGCCACTGAAGCCGGGACAGTGGAGGTTTTAGAATCACCGAGCATTGCTTCTGGAGCCTATCCTGTGCTCAAAGAGGGGCGTAGGGGAGTGTGGTCCCTGTCAAAAGTTCCCAGTCCCACCACGGTAACGATGGTGGTGGTCTATTTACTCGACTTAGAGGCTTTGGGGTATTCATGTGCAATCCATGTTGCGATATGTAGCGCAACGTCACGCCCTTCGAAGCCCGTTCTCTGTGTGTACCGCGGAGGTCGTGCTCGTTCTGGTGCCGTGCCTGCTCTAGGATTTCGATGACAGATGCCAAGGCCTGGATAGGAAACACTGTATAGAGAAAACGAGGTGGATCCTCTGTATCGGATCGTAGATTGTTTAATCAATCAGCTGCCGAATCCTTTCACTATCTTCCACAATTGCCGACGATAGTATCCATTCAAATTAATACCTTGTAAAGTTACCACATTTTTGGAGATGCCCCTGTAAAATATTTCTATAAAGATTCTCAGTTCTCACAAATTCATCGTGCGGTGCAACGCCCCAACTTGTCTTTTCACTCGCACCGTTCATTTTCTGAGCGTACGATAGCTTTCTCATGCGAATTCTCATCGTGAGGCGAAGCTTAAGAGATACTCCATGTCACAGATGGAAAGTTGCTCCTGCTGAGCCCTATCTCATGTTCGGAATGTACATTTGAGCCCTGTCTCTATCCACTTTGACTTGCTTTGACCAGTTTTGACCTCACCCTGGAATCGCTTACTGTGAACCGGTAGTGACTGACAGAACTAATCGAGTTGTTCCACAACCACAAAAAAAGTATCAATACTTTACAACATGGAAACGGAGCGAGGACATGTGAATCGACATGTGAATCCAGCGTATACACAATCCATAGCCACTGGCGAGTGACATATCTAGATTACAGTCTCAACAAACACGAGTTGCACGATGTCTGCAGAGTTTCTTAACCACCAGGTCGACGAAAATATCTTATAAACGTAAGTGGCCCGTGCGCACAAGAATGGGCACGAACATCACCACAATCCTCTGCTTGACCTGCGAATTCTTGGAACTCTCTTGTGGCTGAAATGAGACACATCAAGGACGAAAGACCTTCATTCCAAGGAATCCGGTGGTGTGCAAGCAGGATACCGTACAAAATCCAGGTTTGATTCCCATTTGACAGACGTCTGAATGAAGAGTTTGTTAAATTATGAGCATTCGCTGCCGTCGTTGGATACTGAATTCGAGCCAGAAGCCTAAGGCCTACAGCGGGGAAACTCACGGGGGCCCTGAACCAAGCGAAGGCTACAGTCCTAGTGCACTTCTTGCAATCGACCAGACACCAGGGAAATCTGAGTCATGACCACCACAAATGGAGTCTTCCTTCCCATTCCGGCGATCGTTATGATGGTTGAAATCTCAGGCAAACCCTAGGATCGAACTGTTGACCAACACTGTGGGATACAAAAGTTGCTACATGGAGCTTGACATCATGTCTCCCCCCTGTGCAATAGATCTAGAGTCAAACGGTTGACGAGCGCATGCAAGTGTGTCGAACGCCTTGATTTGGACTCGTGCATGTGCGAGTTGCAGCTAACCTGGCTACCCAGGTGTACATCAGGCACCTGGTCCTCTCGAATGTTTCGACGGGGCTCGTAACATGAAATGTAGAGCTTTCATGCCATCAAGCTAGGTGGTATCAAAGGTCAACGTACGAGGAACTCAGCTTTTGACAGGCTACTGCATACTCACCGTGAACACCCTCAGTAGGGCGCAGGATCCGTAAGGTTGCACTGCGCTCCGACGGTGACTCAAAGACCCACAAGCTTCGCTTCCTTTCTGCTTCTATCAGATTCTCTACCTGATAAGAGCGAGATCCAAATCCACCACTTGGGACCCATAGTATAGAACATGGAAGTCTAAGATAGCATCTCGAAGCTATTATTCAACTTAGTCGATTCAAAGCTAATCATTCCTCGAGCTGGACTAGAAGATAATCTTGTTCACAGCGTAGCAGCCAGTTCTGACGGCTGTGACTGTCGTAGTTGCAGCTCCTAGATTCGGCACGATGTTAAACTTTTGGTGTTGTTGACAAGCGAAGTGTCCAGCCGAAAATTGACTGCCCGAGAAAAAACATTCAAACTTCATCTCTATTCATTACATTCTCCAGATGCATAGAACATGTCTGAGATTAGACCACTGTGACTTTCACACTTTCCCTCTTCGTCTTGATCTGCTCTGCACCATGACTGTGATGACTTTTTCGCGTGGATAGTGTAAAGAGGCAACGAACGCCGTCGGCATCCGGATGACACGTCTTCTTCGTCTTCTCCGATGGACATTCCGCACTGTCCGATATCGATTCCGCTGCCCTTCCTGTTGATACAGGACGTTCTTACTTCGAAGCAACTCTCTTCGTAGGGCCGACCAAAAACCGCAAACCGCGGAGTCTGATTTCGATTCGGACTCAGCCGACGACTTTGTGAGCAATTTGTTGGTCGATGACCTTTCATTTGAGACTCCCAGAGGTCTCCAATCTTTGACTCACCTGTGCCTGGGGAGACCAGGGACCTTTTATAACTTTTCAAGCAATCCTTGAAGAGTCTTAGTGGTCGAGCTGTATAAATAACATTTGTCTTATTATAAGAAAAGGAATGCCCTCATCTGTTGGCGACCTTGAAAGCAGCTTGATCACTGAGCTTTACTTTCGTGAATCCGAGTTTCTCTGTTGCAAAGTCTTATTTGTGACCTACAATTGGATTCTTTATTCTCCACTAGACGTAAGGAATTCAACGGAAAACATTGCAGTGCTTGTTCTTTCTCCTGTGGGTGGCTTTGCAACGATGTGTGGACACAGGGGAGGAAAAATTCCGAGCTTCCTGTCAACTCCTCTTCGAATTCACGACTAGAATTGGGATCCCGAGACTTCTATAGGATCAGAAGCAGCTTTAAGGAGTCACTAGTTGCTCTCGAAGCGAAGAGATATGGCGAACCTTACAGCTACCCCTCCTGTGGCCTGCGGTAGAGAACCAGGGACATATCTCAAGACCGGAGACGAGGTAAAGCCTAGAGCTGAGTACGCTGCACCGGCGGAGAAAAAAAAACGTGGATGCAGACTCGATCGGATTGAGGCGGTGAATTCACATCATGACATGGGAAAAGTGCAGGCCGATCATTTTGTAGATGGGTTGCTGGAAGGTGTCGTTCCGAAGTGAGTAAGTGATGGGACTGGACTGGGGCGTCCGAATGTGGCGTTTGACCGTCAGTCCCATGGTAATAATCTTCCCGTGCAATGATGGTTGGCCTCGGCGGCTGGCTGTCGGCTAGGCAGGCAACGAGGGCAGCTGTTGCCACCACGGCACCACAATGGGCAACGTTTTTCATGCTAAACTATCGAGGACCTCGTAGTCGAAGGACCGGACTCAATTATTAAGTCCCGATTCCATAGGCCTGAGTCCCCCAGACTGTAAGTCACCTATGGTCACCGATCCCGACCCCTTTGAGACTCTGTCAGTGGATCCTTTCGCTTGGGCACAAAAGGATTCGATTTGCCACTTTCCCCGTCCAGACTCAAATCTCCTGTCGAGTCAGCTTTTGTTTCTTCCGGTGTGGTGTAGCTTGCCTGCAACAGTTTCAAGCATCGTGTTTATCCAAAAGTCTCTTAAAATAGCCCAGCTTCCGTGGAGTTCAACGACTCGAAGGTGGGCTGCGGCTATCCAATCTGCTGACACCAAAAGTTATCGCGTAAAATCCACATGTCCTGGGCTAGGGACACCGACATTGACAGTTTCCTACCCGATTGCCTTCCTGCCTTACCTAGATACGCCAGTAGTCCGGGCAAATTTCTTTCAGAACAAAGTGGCTTGAATCTCCCAAAATTTGTTTCGTGGTGCTCTTGAAATACATGTCTATGATCTCAAGATTTCTCCAGTCCAACAGAAATGGAGGATCACAAAGTTGGATCTCGGGAGAGCGAATGTGATACTGTCCAAAGGTTGGGTTCATCTTGGAATGTGGTCGGGAAGAAATTTAATGTTTGCTCCGCTCCGGAACTTAAATCATGCGCCGCTTACGTCCTTGCTGACAGCTCTGAACCCAAGTTGCCTGCATACAAACAACGTTTTGAATCACATGGTTGTCAACATCTCGTGCATGATGGTTATATGTCTATATACATATTCAAAAATTGTAACTTTGTATTTATCCGATGAAATTTGATTGATTTATATTCATCGGTGATGTTGATGGCGAGTGAATATATATGATATTGATGATCATTATATTAAAAAATAAAATAAATTTTTTTATAACACTGATGAGAGAAATATAAAATAAACATATTATATACATCAATGAAAAAAAATAAAGTGATTTGAAATGTGTTAACCTCATAAACAACTTTTGTAATGAACATATGTAATAGATTTAAAATTAATTTATATAATGATATATAATATACATTTCAATTAAATTTATCTAATCTTACAAATAATAAATTTCACATTAATTTTGATCATAATAAAAACATCATGCAACATATGCTATTGATAGAAATTTTTTTCCAGAAATCACATAATTCATAATCAAAGTAATAATTATCTACTCGGCTATTTATTTTAGATAATACAACAATTGATTTATGTATTACAATGAAACACTTTCATTCATATCAAATTTCTCGTGGTTTATTTGTGAAGCATTTCACAGTGTTTCCTACATTTATTCTTATACTTCAAAAATTATAATGTTAAAATATAATTATAACTATGTCTTGCCTTCACATCTATGAAATAAAAACCTGATTTGATTGCGATCAGTTTTTAGCTAAACGCGCATGAAATGACAAAATATATCATCACTGTGATAGATAGTAAAGTTATGTATATTTTAATAATTCATATATTTTACCTTTCATAAATCAAATTAATTTCGTTTTCTCAGATTTAGGATGTCAAAAGTAGATTTAGTATGTCACTTCTCTCTGAGTTAGTCCTCATAGAAGAAAGTCGTGCACAGAGTCATTACTTATCCCCTCCTTCAGTCATTCAAACAGTGATGAGATAAGGAAAGCGAGTAATCTATCGTCAGCATCTAATCTCGCTATGTTTCTAATGATGAAAAATGTGAAACTATCTCCTAGCAGGTCTTCTGTTTACATCTTTCAGACTCCATCCAGCCAGTGAGAATAAGCTAACATTTCGTTTTATTGTACAATTCTGTAGATGAGATAGAAGTTTTCAAGGATCTGTCCACACACATCTGAAAACAAACAGGTGTCAGTCTCTGTTGATTTCACCCCGGTATGCTGTATTACAAGAGAAAGGTAATGTTTGGGATCGATATAGTTCAACAGTTTTTCTGGCGTATGGACGTGTCAAAAGTTGTAGATTGAGTTGACAAATGAACCTAGAAGATTCCGACAAAACATGATGGGATTCTATGGATCACCTCACTAGGTGTGAATTCTTTATCACTGAAAGCTGACTCTTTATTGTTTTTCATCCAAATTGATAACTAGTTCGAGTTCTTCATCATTGGATAAAATCAACGCGAGATATTCACGCAGCAATTGTCATGTTACTGGGCCCAATCAAGTGCTTTCACTTCAACTTTTTAACTTCGTTCCACTTGTTTCTTTCGTCATAGATAGATAATCATGTGAAGCGAATTGAATAAAATATGCTCACTAAAAAGCTGGAGGGACAGATAATAGTGATGATTACAAGCTCTGTTCTTTGACATCCTTTTCTGATTTCTTGTGGCCAAAGTTCTGTTGTATACGGATCCAATATTGAAGATTCGAATGCTTCGTTTACAAGATTTCGTGAGGAGTTTTTACGTCGTTCTTTCAAAAGGCGATTTGGCCTGTATAGGCCAAGAAGCTAGTCTTCAAAGCCTATCAGCAATTAAATGAACTAAAAGTAGTGGATGCAGCACATATGAGGAGAATAAACATAACAATCAATCAAGCATATAGAAAAATCACCCAGCAGGAAGCAACGACTAGTCTTGACTATGACAAGGGGTCTCCCCATACTTTTTGTTATATTACTTGGGCCCCCTTTCGATTACAGTACAAGGTGATGATTCTTCAAAACCTACGTAAATTGGCGTACCTAGTTAGTTGCAGTTCATGATTTCCATTACCATGCAAACCAAACAGCCACAGATTACAGCCAAATCTCATCTACCCATCTATGGCATCATCTACTTAGATAGGATCTTCCTACTCTTCGCCATATTAGTTGGAATCTTCAATAATATATTCTCAAGGCATGAGATGAATCGACAGTTTACCATCGCATGATAAAGCTGATTCATTGAGGAGTATTGTGAGAGCCTTTGGTCTGCAGTATCCCCAGGTGCTTCTATTCTTATCCGTTACTGTACTTGCTACTGCTTGTCCGCCATGGTACAGCAGTACTAAGGACACGCTGATCGAAATCCAGCTCGAGGCTCGATTCAGAAAGTGCTGAACTTGGCCCGAGCCTTGTCAGACGATCAAAAGCCTCGCTTTCGACAAACTTGAGACGGTGATGATGGCTCCAGAGGAGATTATTAAGCTTCTAGCTGTAATGTCCTCCCTCTCTTGTTCTACGCACATCAAAACATTGAGATCGGACATCAAAACGGAAGTACCTCAAGTCGAGAAAATGGAAGCAAGTAATATTGCAAAAAGGATGGAAAACCCATCAAACCGCACATGGACGAAACCAAACGATGAACACAAGGAATCATGTCCCTTTGACTTGCTGATATTTGATCTCTGATGCCGTTATCTTGGTGACTCATCATCTTCAAGGCCTCGTGTGCTGTTGTGCTGTACAGTGTAACACATCATCCTGGACAAGAGAGTACAGTGATCCTTACAAGTGGTCATGAGTGATAACCGCGCGGTAAGTATCAATGTGCAAGAAAATGAGACACAGTAAAATATCAGAAAGGATGGGAAGACCCCGTCAAGTCGTATTACTCGTCTTGCGGAAAATGTAAAATCTGACAGGAACGCGGAGCCGCTTGCGTCGGATGATTCGCGCCATGCATCTGGACACATTTTTCATTTCAGTGAATAATTGTGTGAGTATGTGCACCGTGTGCATACTACACACTCAGGCACACCTATATCGCCAGTCTGAACAAGGACAAAATGTGGCCACGCCTCTGCCAATTTTCGAGTAGGGATAGCTAAAACGAATTTGCGTTCTGAGGAGTTAGCGTGTGAGAACTCGTGAAAAGTACTACTGCTTCTATTCGCTCGTTCTGTATACGGTGTTGATCGATCTTGAGCAGACTCCCGAAATTCTTTGTCCCTTCTCCAAGGTCCTCATCCGTCCTGCTTCCCATCCACAGCAAATTCTGCCGGGTTGATGGTTAAGTGCAGACACATTGGGTTATGCTTTGTAATGACATGACAAAATTTTTTCTTATATATACAACCATTGGACACACCCCATAGTTATTATTTATAGAAATCATACTGGCCTTTACACTGGTGGTTCTTGGATACTACATTCCGTTTGAACGACGTTGTGGGGTATCGTAAGGACAGAGGATTGTGGTACATCCTGTCGCGATCATATATCTATAGAAGAGGAGCTTTTTCGAGTAGTAACGACAATGTGACCACTCCTCATCTCCGTCATGAACTTGAAAGAGTTGTAACCGGAAAGATACAGTTGTCAATCCGCCTCTCACGTAAGCTTCCATATAATTTCCACATAATCAGTGGTCGTAAGGATGAAAAGGTGAGCTCAATTTCCGTTGGGTATCAACTCCTTAAACACATAACAATTGGGTGTCGGGTAAAGTTGACATAACCTTTTCGTCAAAAACTAAAGCCAATAGATCCGTTAGCCCTCAGCTCTTTCCAAAACATTCTGCACCTCACACATACCTCCGACTTGGGGTCTTGAGTGATCCCTTCCAAGAACTCCGTTTTGTGCTGCCAGCAAATGGCGGTGTTACATTCTGCGCACCTGGGCGATTGCGCCCAGCAGCTGAAACAAAGAGACCATACGCAGCAGGTCCTCTCGAACTCCTCGTCTTCCAGAAGGCAATTACCGCACCCACTACATCTCGGCAAACACATGAAACAACCCCGGCAAGCTTTGCTGGGGTCAATTTTCGCTGCATTCTGACAACTTTTCCTCGTACAGTCGAACACAATTGTCGCATATTCGAAGTCGCATCTCGGACACATCTCAACATCGATAGCTCGATGGTCATCAAAGGTATTTGAAAACATGTAAACAGGCTGAGTGGGTCCGGGCGTTGACTGGTGTCCTGGTCCGCTCAAAATCAGATCTCTTAGAGCATACAGGCTCTGCTGATTGATTTCATACATTCCACGAATTCGCAATTGTTTGATGCCGCACATCCCTTGCGAACGACTCATCGCACAGTGTTGCTCCACCGTATGCACGAGGGCATCAATATTGAGCCCTGTACATCCGGGGATCTCCAGCTGCAAGAATTTGGAGAAGGAAATGGCGAGTAAGCTGCTCTGAAAAGCATGTAAGAAACAAAGTTGATGATAGAAACTGCAAATAGAAGAAAAAGAAGTTCGGCAGAGATGTCGCTAACCTTCTCAAGCTGTGGACAGAGTGATAGCGCATTGGCCAGTCCTCCATCAGTGATCCTTGAACATCTGACAAGTCTCATCACCTTCAGTAATCTACCGGCCCTCTTGACAAGAGTCATAAGAATGTCATCTGTAAGGGCGCGGCTTAATGGGGGTTCAACCTCTAACTTCCTCCACACCAGGACATCATTCACTCCGCTGCGCATATGCTTGCTTACCCTCTCGAGAGTGAGTAGAGATTTCAAATCTGTGTATGGTAAGATGGAGAGAAACCCGTCGGGAGGGCCATCGGCGACTTCAGTACAGAGAGCAGCCTGCTCTTCCTGCAACATCGAGGAGGAGCAAGATGGTGTATGTGAATCTGCTGTTAATTCTTGCTCCACTTCCCCACAAGAACTTTCTACCCCTGACATCGCTCCCTTTGAATCAATTCCACAGTCTTGCTCTCCACCGAAGTCTGCCTCAAGATGCATCCCGCCTTTCCTTCGTTTTGATCCAGAATCTTGTACCAACATATCTGTCTCAGGATTGAAGTCTTTCCCTACCGACAGAGCTGACAGTTTCTCAGTCAAAGCATTCTCTACTCTCTCCATGTCTCCTACTCGAGCAACTTCTCACGATCTCAGTTCGTTGACAACTCCGCACTGTCTTGTTGATTCTTTGAGTATTTGAGTTCATCAGATAGATACCATGAATCCTGCAGAGCACGTGTCCACATGAAAACTGAAGAAGCCCGTATTCGGAAAAACGACGATCGATGCCGCCGCAATTTGAAAACAAGCAACTACAACGCCCACCAATGCTTCAGGTGGCTGACCGTAGACATCGCAGGCCGCATTTGTTCGTGCACGTCCGAGAACACTCACATTTCCACCGTAGACCCCGCAAATTTTTTGGCAGCCAAGGTAGCTCAGTACAGCAGCGCTGTTTCATTGAGAGGCTGAGCATCGATCGCCACGCGGTATGGTGCCGAGCACATCCACATGTCCTACGAGGCAGTACACGATACGAAGTAAGCTCATCGCATGCACTTCCTGGCTCATCCGATGATCACCGACGACCCGGTACACTCGTGGTAAACTTTGACTAAGACATCATCACCCACACAGACATGTGGTTCATTTTAGTGAGTGTAAATTTGATAAAACACAAAGATTTTTCATGTGAAATTTAATGTACCATAGATAATATTTATGAATCTCTTTTATATTCTAATCAGTAAAGTAATTAAACTATTTAGAATTAACCAAGACATGAAATTCTTCCTTGTACTGAAAATTTCAGAATAAGGTTTTTGTAATAATAAGCTAGAGTCAAATCCAAACACTACATGTACATTGAGGAAAATATGGAGGAAAATAATCTATTTGTAAAGGATATTATAGCAAAATAGAAATATATATCGGATCCCTGCCATCATATTGGATTTTTGGGAAAAAAATGCTAGTTGGGTATTGTGTACTAGATATAGATTATGTACATGACTAGAATTGTTATGAAGCCTCTTTCTGACCTGAAAACTTACATTGAAATGAAGGGAAGGTTGTGAATTCTCTTGAATCAGAGAAGGATGACATACATGATGCAGCAACAGATCATAGTGTAACTAAATATACTATATTTATTCAATTTGGAAAAAAATTGATAAGAATGACCTAATGTATACAAAATTTATTTAATGCATAAAATACAAGCACTGCATTTGCATTTTTTGGCAAATAATCACTTTAGTTTGGACACTTTTCTTGTGTTAACAGTTTGAGAAAGTCATTTTGAAATCTACAAAATATACAGTTATGAATAGCTCTCTCTATAGCCTTTCCACTAGTCACTAATGGAATCCATGTTGAAAAATTAAGCCTGTTTTCCATTCAGTCTCAACAGTGGACAAAGTGGAATATCTGGTTCCCGTAACATACTGTTACTGGCGTTACCGTCAGAATAGTAGGCATTCATCCCGGAGTAGGCGCGGAGATGCTTATCCTTTCCACGTCCAGATTCTCGCGGACTTTCAAGCGTTCAAGAGCATTGACTTGATCCTCTTACGTGTTGGCGTTTGTGTCAAAGTTGTAGTTTGGATTTTGCTCTTCGTCTTTGGCATTTCGACACTTTTCAGAAAAAATGTTGGTTGCCAAATTTTCTCTTCGACTTTGCACTTCTGTAATTCTGTTTTAGCACTTTGACTTTGACGATTCGTCGCTTTTTCACTTCGGCTCTTTTCCATTTCCACATTTTGTCTCTTCAGCCTCGGCGCTTCAATGGTTTGACTCTTTAGCAGTTCAACACTTGGCACTTTTGCGCTTGGTTTTGTAACTATCTCGCAATTTGGCTCTTCATCATTTGAGTTTCTTTTCCTTTGGACGTTTCAAATTTGGCACTTCACTCATATCTTTATTTCAACATTGTGTCGCTTCTGCTTTGATTCTTCACCGCTTCACTATTTTTCTTATTCATCATTTTGCCACTTGAATATAAATCACTATGTATTACAATATATTGGATTGGCAGAGACCATCAACTAACTATATATATTGTAATATGTTTATCAAAGATGTATGCATGAAATGTCAACTCCAAATTAATTTTCACTCATATGTAACTCTGACGACTTCTTGACAGCTGATATATATATATAAAGTCTTATATTTTAGCTAGAAGCATATGAAAGAGTTCATGGAACTTGACTTCTGTACATCCGGGGATCTCCAGCTGCAAGCATTTGGAGAATGAAATGGCGAGTAAGCTGCTCTGAAAACCATGTAAGAAACAAAGTTGATGATAGAAACTGGAAATAGAAGAACGAGAAGTTTGGCAGAGATGTTGCAAACCTCCTCAATCTGGGGACAGAGAGGTAGCGCTTTGAACAATCCGTCATCAGTGATCCTTGAACATCCGACAAGTCTCACAACCTTCAGTAATCCACCGGTTCTCTTGACAAGAGTCATGAGAATGTCATCTGTCAGGGCGCTGCTTAATGGGGGTTCAACCTCTAACTTCCTCCACATCAGAAGAACATCATTCACTTCGCTGCGCATGTGCTTGCTTACCCTCTCGAGCGTGAGTAGAGATTTCAAATCTGCGTATGGTAAGATACAGATGAGAGCAGCCTCCTCTTCGTGCCTTTCCTGCAACATCGAGTGCGAGCAAGATGGTGTATTCGAATCCGCTGGTAAGTCTTGCTCCACTTCCCCGCAAGAACTTTCTACCCCAGACATCGCTCCCCTTGAATCGATGCCACAGTCTTGCTCTCCACCGAAGTCTGCCTCAAGATGCATCCCGCCTTTCCTTCGTTTTGATCCAGAATCTTTTATCAAACCATCTGTCTCAGGAATGAAGTCTTTCCCTACCGACAGAGCTGACAGCTGCTTCTCAGTCAAAGCTTTCTCTACTCTCTCCATCTTTACAACTCTAGACAATTCTCACGATCTTGGTTCGTTGACAGCCACGCAATGTGTTATTGAGTCTTTAAATATATGCACAGTCGCAAGGAGAATTCATCAGAGAAATATCATGAATCCTGACCAATCTCTTCGGCCGATCGTTTTCATCCAACTCCAGCTTCTACTCCCGAACATGCTCCAGTAATCCTAAAAATGTCGTTCTAGAAGTTAACCCGAAACCTCCTCCTCGCTCTGATATCTGCAGAGAGCAAGAGTCCACATATAAATTGAAGAAATCAGTATTCTGGAGAACGACGATCAATGCCGCCGCAATTTGAGAACAATCGATGACGAAGAAGTATCCAGCCAACTACAACGCCCACCTGTACTTCAAGTGGGTGACCATAGACATCGCAGGCCGCATTTGTTCGTGCACGTCCGAGAACACTCACATTTCCATCGTAGAACCCGCAAGGTTTTTGGCAGCCAAGGTAGCTCAGAACAGCTGCGCCGTTTCATTGAGAGGCTGAGCATCGATCGCCACGCAGTATGGTGCCGAGCACATCCACATGCCCTCCGAGGCATCTCACGATACGAGGTGAGCTTGTCACATGCCCTTCCTGGCTCATGCAATGATCACCGACGACCCGGTACACTTGTCGTGGTAAACTTGGCCTATGACATGATCACCCAACAGATACACATGTGGTTCATTTTAGTGAGATTAAATTTGATGTAACACATTGCTTTTTTTTCATGTGAAATTTATTGTACCATAGAGAAAATTTATGATTTTTTTTTATATTCTAATCAATACCATAATTAAACTATTTACAGTTAACCAAAACATGAAATACTTCCTTGTACTGAGAATTTTCAGATTAATATTACAATAATACGCTCCCAAAAAAACTACATATACATAATGGAAAATATGGAAAAAAAACTTTCATGCACATAATATTATAGCAAATTAGAATTCTATGTCAAATCCTTGGCTTCATTCTTGGATTTTTAGAAAATGATAATCGGGCACCGTGTACTAGATATAATTTATTTACATGACTATTTTCATGACATGTTATGAAGCCTCTTATTGACCTTAAAACCTACTTTGAGATGAAGCGAATGTTGTACCCTCATTGTACAAAATTCTACAAAAATCCCAACAAAGACGCGAAACGAAAACACGAGGCATCATTTTACAAGCAGAGCAACTCTCTTGAATGATAGTAGAATGACATACATGATGCAGCAACAAATCACAGTATAATTGAATATAATATATGTATTCATTTTGGAAAAGAATGAATAAGAATGACCTTATGTAACAAAAATGTGTGTAATGTATAAAATACAAGCACTACATTTGCAGTTTTTGGCAAATAATCGCTTTAGTTTTGACGCTTTTCTTGTCTTTGCAGTTGCGGGATTTGAGAAAATCACACTGAAATCTACAAAATATGCAGTGATGAATAGCTCTCTCTTTAGCCATACCACTAGTCAGCAATGGAATCCGTATTGAACAATTAAGCTCATAATCCATTCTCAACAGTGGACAAAGTGTAATATCTGGTTTCCGTAACATACTGTCACTGGCGTTACCCTTCATCCCGAAGTAGGCGCGGAGATGCTTATCCTCTCTACGTTCAGATTCTCGCGGATTTATCAAGCTTTCGTGAGCATTGATTTGATCCTTTTACGTGTTGGCGTTTGAGTCAAAGTTGTGGTTTGGATTTTACACTTCGTCTTTGGCAAAGACCATCAACTATCTTTATATCTTGTATTATGTTTATCAAAGATGTATGTATGAAACATCAACTCCAAATTAATTTTCACTCATATGTAACTCTAGCGACTTTTTGACAGCTTATATTATATATATATATATATATCTTATATGAAAGGATGATATTTTGTTTTGTAATTTCACTTATCAGACATTTTCTTCCCGACGATGAATTTCTCCTTGTTTCTTTCCTACCTCCTGAAGATGAGTTTCTCGTTGCAGTAGATTGACAGTTAATCTGGCTATTATTATACACATTTCCTTTGTTGCAAAAGAGAGGGGATGTATGTAGCAAGGCTGAAGATGAGGCAGTCTTAGACAAGTCTTCCAGTCAGAAGGTCCATTTGAACAAGTAATTGCATCAGCAACCTCTACGCCTACGGTTGATGACAAAGGTGAATTACGGCCTAGCAAAGAAAAATGGTGAAAATGGCGGGTGAAAAGTAATTGTATTGCATAATTTGACGCGGCGCGACAACAATCGAAGTCAAAGCCCTAGTTTGAAATTTGGCAAAGGATAGTCGAGGTTTTGGGGTTCGTAACATGAATTATCACATGGCAGAAGATGGACTAATGAGAGCTATGGAGAGGTCAACCTGAAACTCAAGAAAAGAAGAGGATGAGGCATAATAAGAATGAGAGAAAATAAGAGAAGCTTTCTTTAATTGAAAGTGACATACTGTTTCTTTGTTGGGAGGTAAGATAGTAGAAACAAGAGAAAACAGAGATAATTGATCAAGCTATTCTAAATTATTTAACTCCATCTGATACATACGGAATGATAATTAAACTTATGGTGTATACCATAAGAGTTTTTGTATTGAATTTTTTGTCAATCATGAAGATAGCATTTTCGTACTAGAAATTATATCATTGAAACATATCATTGGGGAACCTCGGACAATGAACAACATTCTGCTAAAACTTGAAAGTATTTGGATGGTGAATATCTATGGGTGACTATACAAAAGGGTATGTATATCCTCTTGTGATGTTGTATAAAGGTAGATAACTTTCCCAGAAGACGTGGAAAAGAAAATTTTTCGTTGAACACAACAATTACCCCACTCTCTAGCAATACGCTAAGTTATTATCAGAGGATCCTTTTACATGAGCAGAAATACTTTTTGGTGTAATAATTCGAAGGTACTGTACTTCACTCCTGTGAGATGCGACATGTGCTTCAGCACCCACAAGGGAATGGCCTATATTGCTGACGTTGTTACTGATGGCCCCGTTGTAGGATTTATGTCGGACCAGCTGTGTTGGTGTGTTAGTCGCTCTCATCGCACATAGAATTTATTATTTACACGAACAAAGAGATCTCTCTGCAGACTTCTTTCCAACCATCCATGGAAGGTTTTGGTTGTCGAAACACTCGGATTTTCCCACTGAAAATTTCCACTTCAGTACGGGAAACTCTCCACTAACTTGGTACCGTGAGTTACTCGATGCCGTGATTAAGGTCAGTCTGGGTAAAGGCACCGGAAGGCGTCGTCAAATCTCCATTCTACTCGCAGTCCTCGACCTTCTCACTTGGAATCGCACAAAATATTCTAGTTGGGAATTTGTGGTTCCTATTTCGAGGGGCTGTTTTCAAGCAGAGAATTGCTTCAAAACGCAACATTTCTTCCTGTGAGTCTCCTGTGATCGGTCGGCTGTTTGCCCGGAAAGCAGACAAACAGTCGAAATATTCAGACTCGCCATACTGCAGTGCAATTCCTGACGAAAAAACTCGGTCTAGGTTTCGAACTTTAGACGCTAGTGATCTTCTGACCAACGAATTTCTTCACAAAAGACTCGCGATGTTCGATGCGATGCGGTTTTCAATATTTGGTCCCCGGTGGAGGAGGAAGGGTTGCGCCTGCCCTGGAGGTAGTACTATACCAAAGCTGCCCCCCTTGGACTGCACCACTACAAGAAATTGGATGAATGTCGTGGGAGTTAATGAGTTTATCTTGTAGGTAATGGACCTGTTGATATAGGGACAGGAATTTTGCCAGTAGAGCCACACAGCATCCTTCGACGACCTTGTTTCATAAGATCAGAAACTGGACTTACGAGGGATATACGGGGTGTCTGCTGCAATCTCCAAAGATATCAGGTGACCACAGTAATTTGGCAGTATTTTAGTATTATATCGATACTACACTTGATCTCATCCTTTTCAATAAACACTATATTTGTTTCCCTGGATTTGAGATGAAATACATAATTTCTATTGAGTTGGAACAATTAAGTTTGTGAAAACCTGCAGTGATATTAGATCATTGCAACAAGAGAGGCCTACCCCTTTGATCTCACCCCTATACGGCTTGGTGAGACCTTCTTGCTATTTTACTTGGGAGCCCTCAATCAACAAGGGAGGCTACTAATGTGTGTTGCAGCTAGAAGGAATCCACTGCAGTTGACTACTTCAACTTACAATAATCGGATAATTTCCAATTATTGGATGTTGCTTTTTCAGCTCTCTTTATAAACTTGCAATCACTCGATGTTTCCTTTCCCCCTCAGATGATTACATTCTAGAGAAATTAGGTGTCAGTGAAAGAAAAGCAGATGCGTTTCTTCCCAGCGTAATAATTATCTCCTTCCAGAGGTCAATGTCAATGGTTTCATTTAACTTGCCAACTGTCATGAGTTTGAGAATAAAAGACTAAGCAATAATCTCCATCAAAACCAAGATCCTCAATGCCATGTTATGCAGTTCACATAAACGCCGATTTATTGAGTTTTATACCAAGAAGAATTGCTGACTCGTTGAAGCAGTAAGACACCATATCAGCACAGAAGTGTCGAATGTGGTGACCTTACCTTTCGAGCTTTGTAAGATACTGATAGAATGAAACTACAGTGTATTTGTTGGTCACGAGAACAAAGAGCGTAAAGAACACGCGAATAACTCCTGAAATCCTTAAACAGAAAATAATCTACACAAAATGGTCTTGTTTTTTCCCATAAGTTCAGACCCTGAATCTCAACTCTGAGGGTTAACAATAGTGAATGTAAACTGAACTGATATTTACATTTCTCACTGACATCCATCATCCGTTGTAGTCTAGTTGGTTAGGATACTCGGCTCTCACCCGAGCGACCCGGGTTCAAGTCCCGGCAACGGAAGCAAATTTCCTGTACGGACATAAGTGCGATAAATGAGCAATTATTTGTCTGAAGAAATGACACATGATCGGAAGTGTTTGTTAGTTAAGTGTCAAGACACATTGGAGATTATAAGGTAGACATTACAAAATTTTCTGTAGTATCATGTAGCACGTCTTGGCGTCTTCCGTTGTAGTCTAGTTGGTTAGGATACTCGGCTCTCACCCGAGCGACCCGGGTTCAAGTCCCGGCAACGGAAAATTTATGGGAACCGCACATTTTGTTTCTTGGGGTGAGATCCATCAGGATTGCACTTCAAACATCTTTCGGATATCCGCTTGACTGTCTTTTAACTGTGTAGGATGACACAACTTCTCTGTAAACCTTGACCTCCTTGTCTTACTCGATTGCCAAGTTTTGAAATGTTGCCGCCTCACAGTCCAGGTTTTAGACATATCAGTCAATTTCTATTGTTCACCTTCATTGTTTGCCAGGCGGATACCATAGCTCACATGAGGGCATTACTCAGCGATTTATGTCCTTCAGACCTATGTATTATCCAATTCTTTTTATGCTCTGGGAACAACTAAAAGTAGCGCTATACGGTGTTCCTTGCTAATCTGACTTAGTTCCTGTCTCAAAAGAAGGTCTCATCCATTCCTCATCAGGAGGCAATAGCTTCCTTCCTGTTGGCAGTGTTTATTCTTCGCATCATTTAGGATCATAAGTCTTCGCCTAATCATGTTAGTCTTGTACTATATTTCCACTTAGGTGAGCAGTATTTGAAACTTCAGCCAAGTTTTTCAATTCAGGAAAGAATCCTTATGGTTCAAACTATGTCCGTAATAATCTAATCGCGAGGATACTTTGTTCTCATGTTAGTGACCGGGAATAGAGTCCGGCAAGGGAAGTTTTTCTCAACATTTTAGGGTTTATTCTTTCTATGCATCTTCTATCTTTTCCACCCAACGTTTTGTTAGGAGTTGCCTTATGTTAATATAAGTCGGATTAGTTGGATCAGAGTTAGTCTCTTGTTATATTGGAAACCTTGTTGCGCCTTTTACCACTAACCATGTTGTGCCTTTTACAACCAACCATAACAACTACATTTCAACATGCTTCTAAGTTTGTAATCGATTGAACAGACTTTAGGATTCCAATTCCAATGTATAACTGCCCAGTGTCTTTCCCTGAACCACACCACTACTTGGGTACAATCATCTTCGGCTTGAAGTGTACACTACTGCTGCCGGTGATTACCAAGTACTTTATCAATGGTACGGTGGTGAAGTTCTGATAAACATTCTCTGCCCAAAAATAAAGTAAAGAGATGGCTATCTTCCAATATGAACGTCGGAATGTTCATACGATCTCGCAGAGAAGCTCGCAGCCAAGTATCACCCGTCACAGCGAAGCAAATGAGAAGCATGTCTTACTTGCATAGTCTCTAGTCTCTAAAACTTAAAACTGAAATGTGCATGAGTCTTTATTATACAAAATAGTTCTTCCTGCCCACTGTCACAACTTAGCATATATTTACACAGGCATCTCTCATACAGAGAAGAAAATACAAAATGTGCCTGAATGAGCTTTAAAAAACACATGTAGTGTGTCTGTCTGAGTTCGACCCAATGATGTGATTCTAAGTGTCTAGTCGAGTCACAGCTCTCTGTTCATAATCTGCAATGGGAAAAAGACTAAATGAACCCTGCCTGTACATGCAATACTTAGAAAAGAAGTAGGTCTAGTGGCTTTGACTGCGCCCATGATTGTCACCATAGCCAATTTTCTCAGCAATGCGACTAAAAAAGCCAGACTGGCCCGTATTGGTCTCGCCTCCCGAAGTGGATCGCTTTTCTTTCAATCCCAGGCCTTCACTCACCTGGTCAGAGAGAGCTTCTACCTCTTCTTTGGCTCTGGTAAACACTCCAGGTGCTTTCACATCCTCTGCACTCGAATTTTGATTCAGCTTACTTTCTCGAAGCCCTTCTAGAGTAACTTCGGAGTCATCCTGCACCAAACAAATGCAAAAACTTGTCACAATGCAGACCTGCCATTTGACGATGGCGCCAAATACAAGTGCAAGTAACTGCTCATTGACAACAGATATGGCACCGGATTGTACAAACACTTCGCGAGAAAATGTATCCGCAGATATCTGTCTTCTATTAATTCTATCCAGACATCTTCTGTCTGGATAGAAGATGTCTCTTTCCAGCTATCGACCAGATAAAGTATTATGTTTCAGCGAGATAATGGTAGAGACTCGATATATTCTCAAGCGACCATTTTTGTAGGGATCCTGAGTAACTGAGCTAAGAAAGCTTGTTCTTCGGACTTTCAGCACATGAAAACAGTCGAAACATACACTTGTTCTGCGTTGCCAGATATGTTCGATGATCAGGTCCTGATTATGAGGCTACATCTAGACGTGTCAAAATCTTCCATCCACTGCCAAATTGGAAAATCCATCACAAGCACATCACAAGCACAAGCACCATCATACCTTCGGTTTGACCGGCTTGAAGACAGACTCAGACTGCTTGGGAAGAGAACCACTCCCACTCGTCGTACCACTGGAGGGTGAAAATCCTCCTTCCTCTGAACCCTCCTCGTAACCAGTGCCCAGTTCATCACCGGCCTGAACTTTTCTATCTTCTGTAGTTTCAGAATCAAAAAAAGCTTTAGCGCTGGCGTATTTCTCAATACTACGAGGACCTGAGGTCTTGTCTTTGGTGTCCTTTGACTTTACCTCAGATTTGCTATTCTTCCCTTCCACTTCATCCTTAGACGCGTTATTGTGATGCTTGTCACCCCACATCTCTTTTCTCATTTCACTGGCGACATGTGGCTTGTTAGAAGGTTGCACTGTGGAAAGGTTCACTTCAGGATGAGGATCTGCCTTCTTGGTGTGGATTGCATCCTTAGGTCTAAAATGTTCTTCAGCTGCAGCAAGTTTACCTCTCAATTTCTGGTAAAGAGATGGAGAATCATCTTCCACCGTTACAGTTGTCCTTATGGTATCCCCTTCATGAACGTGACTCTTCGACTCTTTCTCTTTCTCTTTCTTTCCAGCGTGACTTATGTCACTTGTGCCCACTTTCCATCCTGGCAAATAACGAGGAGTGATCCATGCTGTGCAGTCAGCATCACTACAATCAAACTAACTGTCAATTGGTTCAGGAAAAAAATTAGCACAGCCATGGTGAGATTGCTCGATGATATAACTAAATTTCACTGGCATACACGTGACTTAAGGAAAAGCAAGATCTTCACTTTTAATCTACGAATTGATTTTCTAGACATAACAAGCAGAGATGTCCCATTATGGTACACTGACAAAATGCACCAGAAAGGGTAACCGAAAATATCACTGCAAATAGTGCGTCGATTGTCACAGGAGTTGAAAAACGTGGCTAAAATTTAAGATGTGGGGAGCCTCGAACGTTACAGGAATCTGGTTTATCGGAATTACAGATTAATATGGAAGAAGAGAAAATTCAGGTTACTCTTCAGGTCAACTTTCAGTCAAATAAGGTGGGACTCAGGAAGCAAAATATGTGACAAAAGCGGTTCTGTGAGGTGATTGGGTCTGAAGATTAAGTGTAATTTTACTAATATATGTGAGAAGCTGTAGCAGGAAAGCTCTGACCATTATGAATGTGCATGTTCAGCCATTAAATCTGAGGTACTCAAAACCCACACGATTACACGACATCGATAACAAAAAATATGGAAACACTGAGCAGCACCAACCGAAGCTCTAGCAGAGTGCTCCTCAGAGCATTATAACTTTCGTTAAGCTCCTTACAGATAAACTCCTCCAGAAAGATGAAAAACTTCAGTATGAAGACAACAGACCAACCGCATCAAAACTGCACACGTATTAATACCTCTCTCAATGCTCTCGACGTGGACGATAGGCTTGTCATACTCGTTCTCGTCGTCCTTCGTGTCCATTGATCTCCCAGCACTTCGACTTCCAGACATACTCCTCTCTTTGCGCAGTCCTTCAATCTACCTCCTCTCTACTGCTTCCCTACGTGCGCTCACGTTTAGATTAATCTGTGCCCAACCAAATCGCAATCTCTGCCTCCCAGAACAAAACTTCGACTTTGAAGAACGTGCTCTTCACTACAACAAATGAACCAACAACCTTCGAGCTAGACGCACCGACTACTCCACGGCCTGGAAGAAAGAAAAACGAAGAATTCTCGGATTTGGAGAGACTAAACTTCAAGTTTCACGTTTTGACGGCAAATGACCGGGAGCTTACAGCTCACTTGTATGGGAGTAGGTTGGCAGTGGGTTTGCCTGTCAGACAATAGACTTGTGCTGAGTTGAGTTGGCACAAGTCAAGGTCCTCGAGTCCAGAATCATTGCAATTCGTGCCTGCAGAATTGGTAGCAAACTGCGTGATTTCCTCCCCAGACCGAACGAATGAAGCCACGTTACGTGCTGCGTTGCGTGGCGTTGTCACAGTCCACGATCGGACTTGCTGACCGGAATGCACGTGCCGCGTGGCAGTGCCGGATAGTCCTTCGCTTGTGAAGTTGTGAGTTTCTTCCCCAATTGAATGTCGTCTTGCCCTTCTGCTTCCATTGTCCGAGAATTGACTTTGTTTACGCTTATTACCACTACAGGCAAAGGGAGAGGCATGGAGATGCAACCCCCTATAATGAGTTACAAGTTGTACTCAATATATGGGTCTTTATAATTGGATTCTTCGAGTATTGCGTAGTATAATACAATATAATACCAAATATATAATGCAACACTCAGAGGTCCACCTCATATGATACTCAAAACTCTTATGTTATCATAAGTGGATGTTATTCTCGTCCATGGTCTACTTGGCCTCGAATATATCCTCGTCATAACATCAATTCTCTTTGAAATGTCAACGCTATGAAATATATCACTGTTATCAACAGGGTGATATACCCTATCAACCTTCGAACTTTTCCCAAATAGCAATTTTTGGCTTCCCCATTTCGAGTAGAATCTATGAAAAATCTGAAAGCTGTTGTCTTACTACAAGTGTAAGCTTTCACTTGTAGCAAGACAACAACACTGCAGTACTCCTAGAGACTCCACTAAGGACTTTTTAATATACAAGGTACGGTTTGGTAGTGTTGTATAATATATTGGTATAATACTAAAAATATACATACACACCTATAGTTACAACGCACAATCCAAAGCATGTACTAGGCTACCTAACTTATTATATTATAGAAAGCTCAATGTAGGAAGAAAAGTAAATAAAATGTTTTGGGAGTGGTTAGTTATTTCTCACTTAGGGCTAATAAGCCCTCACACTACTATAGGCTCGTCTCTTACGTTGTGCTAAAGCCCATGAGCTCAAAATTATTTTATTTCACGCAAAACTGAAATATATACGAGATTCTAGATGTACACTTTCACCGAAATCCTTGCAAACATTTTCAACGGATTCCAGTTATGTAGAGCAAAGACCTGTGGAACGATTTGAAATAGCTTTACACTATCATTTGTAAACCTGAAATGATTTCAGAAGTTGTTAAATATTGAATCAGATGTTGATGCTCACCGCCGAGGCTAATTAAGTGAAATTGAAACTTGATAAATAAGTTTGCACAAATTAGAAGCCATGTTTGCATTGGCTGATCAGATATAGATATTGACATCTCCCCGAGAATATGTTGTCCAATAAAATAGTGCATCGTAACAAAATATCTATATGCACCAATGCACATCATATCATGATCAATGATATTGTTTCTCTATGAAAGTCATGTCAAATGTCAAAGACTTGTTCTTTAAAAGCTTAATCATCTCAATCCATTGAATGCTTAAAGCAAAAGTTCAAGCTATGTAGCATCCGAGATATGTTATTCTTGTGCTCGTCAGATGTACATGGTTTCTATTTTCTTACACTAAGTTCTTCTATGTGCATTTCTTATTCGTGGAATACATTCTATGTTTTGTAGGGTTTCTCATATTGCTGCTGAAAGCATTTTGATGTACTCTTTTGAAATGTTTTAGTCCAAGCATGAATAAGCAGATGGATCTTTCCAGGGACTTGTTTGTACATTGAGTATCTATATTCATCTCTATTCTAAATAGTTTAGGAGTCACAACCCGGCAATGGAAGGTATGGAAACTTAGACGTGATGGTGTTCTGTGTTGTAGAAGTCTTGTTTTTCTAGTTCACATGATGGCAAAGAATTTAAAAGACTAGGATGCGAGGTATTGTTTAAGCTAGCCCGAGTGTTCATCACACCAATTTTTCTATCATAATGTCAATATTGATTGTATAGAGATGTACTTAAGCACAAATTACATGTCTGTTTTATGTTCCAGCCCCTTAAGTTCTTTTCTGCTCTTGGATCTTGGATGATGGTTGTTTGTGTTGTGATGATTTTGGCTCGTTTTTGTAGTATCTAGTCCACAATTGCTTCCTTATTTGTAATATAGAAGGAGCTTCTATTCATGACCTTAACATATCGATGAAGATTGCTTCTTTCACAAGTGTCGACGTTGTTTAAGAAATATGTATCATGGACGTTAGTCAATCAGAAATTTAAGATTACCGAGCATTCTTCTTTGTTTTTGTCCCGTATAGTTATATGAATACTTTAATCTAATATAAATATCTAGCTTCAATATACAAATAATTAGTTGGATTTATTTATTATTTACTTTCATCTTTCAATGTTTGGTCACATCTGTCCGATATACTTAAATGAATTCTCTTGTCTAGTATAAATATCTAACTTCAATATACGAAGATTTGTTGCCTTTACTTTTACTTTCATCTTCCAATGTTTGGTCACATAATAGCTATATTTAAAACTTTTGAGTGTGAAGTTATTGTAGAAGGTCTTTACATAATCATTGAAACTAGTTGTGAAATTCTATTTGTGCAAAACTAAGGTAGCAGAAAGAAGTAGCGTTCAACAAGTTCCAAAATGATCTTGTGTACTCCATCATTGATTGTGTATTTATAGTCCCTTGAAGTGAAAGTTGAGAGCGGAGCAGCAACAATCTCATCATCATCACAACCGACGTCCAGAGATGAAACAAAGATATCACATGGATGGAAAAAAGTAGATGAGGTGATAAATCCAAGATGACATTATTTTTATCGTTCAATTGAGAAGGAAAGTGAAAATTGTTATCGTGCAATGTGTCAACATTGTAGGGAGGTGCTTGATGGCAAGCCTGACAAGTTGGAACATCATGTCTTGCATCAATGTACTTTGAATTCTGAAAGTAAAATTGAGTATATGCGTATCGTAGAAAAATCTTCAAAGAGTCAACGGACATTAATGCAATCATCAGGATTGGAATCACAACAAGTTTTTTTTCCGCAACACCAGTAACAACCTTTGTCAAAGTTATTCAGTCCGTCAATGAATGCAGAAGTATATGAAAATCATCATCTGAGATTTTTAGACTTCTTGATTTACTTCAACAGTGCATTCAATGTGTGTTCCAACAAGGAATTTGGCCTAATCATAAGTGGTCTCAATTCTAATTACATTGTTTCTTTAAGAAAGTTGGTATCTGATCAACTCTTACAAAAGAGATATAGCGAGTGTTTGCTAGAGCTTAGAGATCAACTCAAGTACGTCAGCAATATGACGCTAATGATGGATAGATGTGAAGATGTTTTGAACAACTTGATCTACGTTGTGATTGCCATTACTAGCTCTAAACATTGGATCTTGGACATATTACACTTAACATGTAAGCCAATAGCAAATGCATTGCTGCAATACTTGTTACTGTCAACTAACAAAAGTTTCTTTAGTTGACAACAATTCTTGCTTTTGTATTTGATAGTCCAACTACCATGATCAAATTGGGAAGCAATTTGACCAATTTGCATATAAACATGATTTCTTTGTGCTTCTGTCTTCATCAGCTTAATTTGATTACAAAGTATATGTCAACTCAATACACTATGAAGCAGATCTTCCAAAAAAATTGTAAGTTGATAATGTTTTTACAAGTTCTCATTATTGAACGACACAAATCAAGACATGGAATCATGAAAACAATATTTTGAAGTTTTTATCAAATTTCTGTGAAACACGATGGTATTTAGTAGTGCTTGAATGTATTGATGTTGCATCATATCACAAAGGTTTTTAACTCTGCATGTACAAGTCAAGACATCCAATAAGCCAAAGATCAACAAGGAAATCTTTAATCTGATGGATTACCATTATCACTTTGCAATCAACAAGGAAATTTGCAAGCTCATCAAGCCGATCGCCGACAGTATAACTTGTCTTGAGCAAAATTCCACAACATTAGATCAAGTCTTTGCTGAGCTGATCAATTTGTACACAACTGTGAAGGACTCATACGTTACCAAGAATTGCAATAGCTTCAAGACCCACATTATCAAGACTATCAGAAAAAAAGCTTCTCAATTTGATCATCCAATTTATTTTGTAGCTTTATTTTTTAATTCTAAGTATTGATATGTTGCCATTTCCAGCAATAAGACCTACAATAACATTCAAAAAGATATTGCAAATCTAGCAAAAGTATGGAACTTCATCAAGATGAATACTATTTTATTGCTAGTAGAATTAAATGACTACATCAATCGGAGAGGAATCTTCACCAACAATTCAAACAAGGATTGGACGATAGATTTTTGGCAGTCTGTGATTGGTGCAAAGACTTTGCGTGTGTTTGTAATGAAACTTTCTTTCATCACTCCTCATAATGCCGCAATGAAGAGATTGTTTTTGCAACTATTAGTGTCCAAGACAAAAATTCGTAATTGCATGAGGGTAGAACGCATGAAAATTCTTTCCATCGTCAGATTCAGTATTAAGGAGCATTCAAAACTCTCTTCAACATCATTCGGATCATTGGCACTAGATCAAGAGAGTTGAGATTGACATTCAACATAGCATATAAGACGATGAAGATTTTTCTATGAGACTAGTGGATGAATTGTCTTTGGAAGATCTGGAATTTTTTTTGAATGATAATGATGATTTTCAGGGAGATTTTGATATGTTGTTTGATTTTGTCAAATATAAACTAGAGTCATGTCCAAATGTCACCATGGTTGCAGTGGAAAAAGAGATGAAAATAACATTTGAAGAAGATTGAAGTGTAGATGATTTGTTATCTTGACATTTTTTGTATTATATCTTCATGGCAAAAGTAAACTCTGAATTATAAACCATGAGATTGTCTATAATTCACACATGTTTGCAATTTCAATTTACTAAATGCTTGTTTGATTTCATTGTTTTGTTTAGTTCAAAATTGTATACAATGAGATGACTATATGTGAGATGGGCTATACTTGACACCTATTTGCACTTTTGATAAACTGAGTGATTGTCTGGTTTCATTGTTTTGTTTAGTTTGAGACTGTATACTATGATATGACTTTATTTGATATGGACTATAATTGACACATGTTTGCACTTTTGATTTATCTCATTGCATTTTTATTTTATTTAGTTCAAAACTACGTATTATTTTCAGATTGCCAAAACT